ACTCCATCCAACCTCAGGCCTTTTACTTTGAGAAAGAGGTAGACAGACTGAGATTCACTAAAGGAAAAACTCTAAAGAAATAAGATAATGCAAGGATCAACAGACGTTCTGGCTCTTCTAGCAGACAAGGCTGAGGACAGAGGCTGTTACAGAAGAGATGTGAACAATTTATTTTATTTTTTTCTTCCTCAGTCGCATAAGGCAGGAAGCATCCATCTTAACTTGTAGGAAGATTTCAGCTAGTTCTTGGAGGAAAGTTTTAAAAGTTTCTGCGGCTTCTAATCAGGTTCCACATTGGACTTGCACCATGGACCCCACTAGTGATGGGATGGTTAATAGTACCAGCATTTCTTTGACCAATTAGAAATTCTCAGTTCAGCATTGATAATTAGAATATTTCCAGTTGTTGTTGTATGGCTGTAGACTCTAAAAGACAGTTTTATGTGGTTGGATGTTCTCATCAAATCAATTTGATGTCAAGTTAAAAAGCCAGTCAACCTGGAGAAGCTTGGTTCTACTGTGTCTCCTCCAGGCAGATTGTTTGATGCCTGATAAAGAGGCCCCTCCTTCTCTAGGGACCATAATGGAGCTCTATGCAATCAACCAGTCTCATTAAACATGTAGGAAATCAATCTCTGCCAAATTTGACCATAGTTAGTAATCACGGGGAATAGTCAGAAGCATGATTTAGGCTTGTGTAAGCCTTGTCTCCACAGAAAGCAGGCTTAACTGTAAATGGGAATAAGATTTTTTTTCTCAACACATGCAGTATTATAATGAAATTCTTATGTAAAACTGATGTGTTCTATCCCTCTTCAAAAAAACATTTTTTTTTTATCAGTCTAGCAAACAAGTATTTGCTGTTGGGAGGTGGGGGTGTCAGCTGGTGGTTCTTGCATAACAGTTCCTGAATATAAAGCTAGAGGCCAGGGCTGGGATGCAGCTGGAACAGGTTTGTGCAGCAGTGTGGAAGGGATATGTAATGGGACTCAGAAATATACAGGGAACAACAAAGAGATATTTTGAAGAGGACATGCGAGCTCTTCGTGACAAAGGAGGCAATAGGAAAGGGAGAGTGTCTTAGTTAAACACAGAAAGAAGGAAAGGATTAGGGTGGGCTGGAATGCAGAGCTTTCCTCTTGCAGGAAATGGTAGCATTTGAAAAAAATACTGATTTTTATTCTTAATCAAATAGGGTTTTTTCTACTGGAAAAACTGTTTCAAATATTTTCAAAGTGCTCTGAGAAGAAAACAATGCTGATTAACACTTCAGCTTGGTTGGTTTTTGGGTTTTTTTATTTGTTTGTTTGTTTTAAAATAATAATCTGCTTCCAGGGTAGATGTTAAAGGCAAATATGCACCTACATTTGGCATAAAGTTGAGAGCACAGGGTGTCCAGCCAGGGGACAACAGGGCCAAGCAAGTGGTACCTCAGCAGGATCTCCTTGGCTTATCCCATGCTCCTGTGGTCTGATGCACCTTGCGCCCAAACAAGCTGTAAGTGATGGCCAAGGCTAATTGCCCAGTCAACTCCTGGTACTCAGGCTACCTTGTTTTACCAAAAGGGTTAATTGCGGCTGAGTTCCAATGATGCGCTGCTAATAAACGTGGGTAAGAACAGAAGCCAGATGGATGCCAAAGGAACTGATCCCTGGATTCCCCCATGTGTGGATTTGACACTGTGTATTAGCAGCAGGCAAATTTGCAGGCTGGTCATTAATATTAACATAGAGACTTTCTTTTATTTTTTCTGCTATCAAGAACAAAAGTAGGATTAGGCTGTATTTTGTTTAATGAAGGGGTTGTTGATTTAGACCTCCACTGTGTCAGTTCACATTTACCTCAGCAGGGAAGACTGCAGCAGGAGCCAGTGAGGTACAAAATCTCTCTGGAACGTAGGGTGGCAGCAATGCAATTGCACACCCCCCGCTCGCACCCAGCCTTCCTGCACAGGCAGGGGGAGCTTGGTGGCACAGAGGAGGTTCTGAAGGTATTGCAGATCACTGAATTCTTGGAGCACCTGAACTTTCTACCCAAAATTCAAAGTCAGTAAAGACTGCAGGGTCCTCTTTCCAACAGTGTACCTGGGATGAGCATCTGGAACCTATCTTGCAGTAGGTAATTGGGCACACTGGGGTTGAAGGTTGCAAGACAGCAGGCAGGGAAGGATCTTTGCCACAGGGCAACTTAAGAACAAGAGTGAAACTATTGGCATTTTAGTAAGCAGTGAAAAGCACCTCTGAGTGCCTGGGACTGCTTTCATACATATATATATATATATATATATATTTTTATGTGCTGCTAGTACCTTTAGTTAAGAATACAGCCATTCTGCAATAGGAGAAAGAATTGTGATTGCAGTGCCTGTTCCTAAATGGTATGGGAAAGTGGTTCTATTTCATATCTCCTCATCTTTGTGACTTGCAGGAAAATAGGAAGTCTGGAAGTGCAATGAAGTACATGCAGGAGAATTTAAAAAGTGTAGCTGACAGGCATGCACCTATTTTTACTGCAGTTTAGGTACAAAAATACCTTCCTGGATTTCAAAACTTTTCTTAACATGGCAAAAGAAAATAATATTCCTTTCTTCTTCCAATAGCATCTAGCAATACAGATCTCTCCTGACCAGCTGATGTCCTTTGGTGGCTCCACAGACCCCTGTGCTATGTGCTTTCTCTACAGCATTGGCAAGATAGGGGGAGGTGAGCCCATACACCAACTTGTCTGACATGATGTTCCACAGATCATTAAAACTATTAATCCCAGACTTAATCCTTTGCTGTTCTTCTGTTAACATTCTGCTTGAAGAAGCTAAATGCCAAGTCAATAGAGCAACTCTCCAATTAGAAATAGGAAAGGAGCAATTGTATGTGCTGCAGTGTCAATACCCAAAAGCTGTAAAATATCTCTTATGTAAAATGATGGAGGCTTGGGCTCTGCATGTACCACAGGACTCATATGTGCAAAAGCCCAGGTACAGGCACAGTAACCTAATGTTATTAAATTGATAACTTGAGTAACATGTACCAACATTTCCCTACTGCCTGTAGGTACAAGTGGAGGTCTATTACAAAAGCTTCCACTTATATAAAAGCATTTCTAGTTCTTTTCCTGAAGGTACGCCAATCTGATCCAGAAATGACTGTAAATAAAACACAGCATCCTGAGATCTCCTTAAAACAAGAAGTAGAAAAACATCAGAAACTCCAGAAAGTGACTAGACAAGGCATTAAAGGCAGCAAGAGGGGTGTGGAATATGTAACACCTGAACTTGCCTGCCAGAACTTGCAAAAGGAAATGTGTAACTTGCTGAGATGCAGTGCAGGCCTGAGAAGTGTAAAGCTCTGGGGGACAGTCTGTAGCGTGGCTGTGTCCTGCTGCAGGAACACCCTGGCCTGCCTGCAGCACTGTGCTCCCAGCAGCTAACGGGGTCTGTCTTCCCTTTCAGAATCTATGTCAGCTTCTTCGACATCAGCGCTGGCAATATAGGCTGGAACAACACCACCTTTGCTTGAGGTGCCCTCGGGTGGTAACAGCTTAGTCCTGAACCCTCACCGTGGTTTTGAATGCTGCAGTTCTAGTCATGTTACCTATATTTGGCACAAATGTAAAAGTCAGCGGTGCCTTTGTTGCTGCTACCCAATGCTGTTTTAACAACTTGTCTGCTGCTTAATAAAAGTAAAAATCCATCAGAAGCCTTATGACTGAGACTGTCTTGTTATTCTGGAAAGGTGGTTGAGATGGAAGGTGCTTTCTCAAAACATTCTTAATAGAAGCTTTTCTTTTTTATAAACTAGTTTAGTCTTGTGTGAAGATGAACGCTCCACTTCAATATGCCTTTGCCCTGTTCATGCTCAACAGCCTGGACAAATTTAAATAGAACTATCCTGATCTGACTTCAAAATACATTTAAGACAATAGATGTGGCTATCAATGTGGCATACATCCCTCCCTTCAAAAGAAGGAAAGACACGATTGCTTCTTATTTAAAAGGGATGGATTACAGACCAGGTTCTCCTTAGATCTTAACTCTACATGGACCTCTAGCTGCTTAGCAGAAAAACTCGTGCTGCAAGAGTCTCCCGGGGCTCAGGACAGGCAGAAGGAGTAAGCGGAAAAACCCACTGTTCACTGTTCTGCCCTCCCCTTTTCATCCCTTGAACAATTTGCAGTGACAGTGAAGATTAGAGCACAGCTCAAAACGAGGCAGAGGCACAGTGAGCCATTCCCAGAGGCCAAAGGAATGAATTAATTACAAAAGAAAGGTTTCCATATAAATATTTATTATTCAAGCCCTGGGTCAAATAAGAGCATTTGCTTCCGAAGGAAGATAGAAAGATTGAGTACAGATCTGCTTCCTGAATCTCTGAAATTAGGCATATTGTGGGTTTTTCTGGTTGTTGGTTTTTTGGTTTTTTTTTCTGGAAGAACAAACCCATCTCACCCCTATTCTGAGCTCTGTTGTCCCTATCACAGCTTTGCTTTGCAGTCACAGTCTTTAAATACAAGCCTGTACCTCAACCTGCAAAAATGCTTTGTTGTGATAACAAATGAAAGCTGCTTTGGTGAATCAAAGCAGCAGTCAATGAAGCAACATGCTACTTGGCATCTAAATACAGTATATCTTACTAAATGTTTTTCATTCCACTTAATGCTTTGCAGAGCTACCCAAGGAAGGAAGATGTGGCACAAGGTAGGTAGTCTATTGGCAGAAGTGCTTGTGGAGAATGGCTGCAAAGCCCCTAAACACAGCAGGACCTTCCATGGGGAGGCAGTTTCCTTCTTCACAGAGCCACCTCCTCAAAGAACGCTGCCTCTGCCTGTTCTTGTGGCCACAGCACCAGCATTCTCTGATGTTTTCCTAGCTCCTCCTCCCTGGTCCAGTTGCTCTGTGCTCAGGTTTTGAGTGTGATGCAGGTGGGCAGCTACAACTGCAACCTGCGAACGCCCCAGCCCTGCTGTTTGTAGTCAGCCTCCAGGAAAGGCTTCCGCCTGCCCAATGTATCTTCTGAAGGCTTTCTATGCTAGATGCTTTCAGGCTTACTCTCAGAGCATCCAAACCCTGAAATGTGTGTTCCTCATGGCACAAGTACAGTGAAGACCACCTTTACTTGCTAACAATCCTTATACTATCTCATAGGGAATGTAGAAGCTTTCTTTGCCTCTGTCTCTGGCACATCATTAGAACGCTCTTTGGTATACCTCTATAAAACATTTTACCTTACAATTTTTTGCTCTTAGACACATTTCTTCATTGTTCTTATTTTAGTCACAAGCAATTGTGTTTTAAAGCAGATGCTGCACATCCAGAAAATGTATTATGAATGCATGAGTGTGGAGCAATCCTGTGAGGAAGGGGTGCAATACATACACACTGGTATCTGGTTAATTGCTAAAAATGCCTCTTTAGAAGCTATGAAAATGTATGCACTGCTTCTTCTTTAGTCAAAGGGGCAAGAGAGAATGAAACTGTGGATTTCTTTCCGTCGTGTGACAGCATGGCCAGGGTCTGGTGCTTTGGGCCTGGCAGGCCACAGAGCAAGCATGCTGGTGGTGACATTGCTCTCAAGTTTTTCTCCCTGCACTGCCAGAATTCCCACCCTACCTCCGTGCAACAACTCTGGGAGGCAGGAAGGTGGGAGGAATAAATGGCACTTTGAAATGGCAGGGAGCTGATGATATTAGTTCTTAATAGCACTGTTAATCACTAAAAAAAATCAGTGTTCAGTCCTGCCAGTTCTTAGCATTATAGCCTGTGCCACTCCAAAGTGTTCCCATACAGTACCGTCCTTTACTCTTCGTTCAGGGCTATGTGTATTCACATATCTAAGACGTATGTATGGTCAAGCTTTCTAGCAGCTGCAGTGCCGGGACTTTGTTAAAAATTAAGACGTGCTTGATTCCTGTGTGTAAAATGCCTGTGTGGAGCAGGCTCTGGGCCTGATTCTCTTTAGCCTTCCCGTGAGTCATTTCAAGCAGCACGGCAGAGAGCTACGCAAGGCAGGGTGGGGAGTCATGCCCTCTGCAGCCTACGTGCATCGCATCACACAGCCCAGCAGAAGGCTCATCTCTCAGGCCACCTCTCACCTCCGAACAGACACGCACCAGTACATTTCCAAGCAAAAAAAAAAAAAAAAAAAAAAAAAAATCACTGCTGCCTTTTTCCTGAAGACAAATATGGTGTGAAAATGAGGATGCTGAGGAGTAATAGATCACTTTCAATTTGACTGAAAAGCGTTAGAGAATAATTAACATGCCAGCAAGTCAGATGTTTCGGCATACATCCTGTTAAAGCTATGCACAGTTAAACCAAAAAACATACAAATGTGCCTTTATTTTAAAAAAGGAAAAAACACCCCTTTGGAGCCAGGGCTGGTATCCCTTTTTGCCACTGCCAAGCTAGGGCCTCCAGTCCTTTTTGGCCGTAATCCTGCAAAAGCCGGTGGGAGTGCTACAGCGGTGGGACCACATGCGCAGATACGAGGTTACATATGCACTGCCCAGCGCGGCAGGACTCACTTCCAGGGAACAGCCTACAACGTACCCTCAAAAAATGCTCCATAGTAGTAACGAAGCGGACGAATAACGGCGGAAAGGGAGGAGAGTTCTGGCCGGGACGCTACCGCGGGAGGGAAGCCG